ACCAACGAATCTCTTCTTCATGCACTTTCATTCGAAATGAAAGTCCCCCTAACAATGTTATCTCATCGAAACCAAGTTTCTCTTCGTATCTACAAAATATTACTTAGCCTGATAGCCTTTATGACATTAGGAGACCAAATTGAAGTGGTGTCCCCTATCCAGAGAGACGGGAAATAATTCTTGTGCTTAACTGTTGCGACAGGACTAGTCTGTTTAAACATAATTTGTCATAGAAGTTAGTCATAAAATAACAATCCGGGAAAGTAAAATTAAATATGTACTTGAATTGGTTACTACTTATATGGTGATATTAGTAGTAGGTTTTTCTATTTATGAAATCTACATAGATTATACACCAAAATTGGGTAATACTGATACTGCAAGAATGGTAGCAGGATGCAGGCAACGGTCGCGAGTTTGAATAATACTAGTTATGCAATTTATGTATCTGTCTACAAAATGTTATCTGGCCCGAGTGCATATATGCCATCTGGAGACGAAATTGAAGTAGTGTTCCCCTTTCGTCTTGCAGATCACAGTTGGCTGTAAATTATTTTGCTGGTAGCAGGATTTGCAGTAATGAGCTGTCAGAGATCGCTGTCGGGTTGGAAGACAGAATGTCACGTTGTTCAGCCTCGGCCATAAAAACACACTTTGATCTGAGTCATTGTCTTAAGGAGATCAGGCTGAAGAACGGATTCCATCTGAGAAGACCGAGTATGAGATGAAGTCTGAAGAGCGGTTCCCTCGGAATTTGAGATTCTGGCTGCTGAATAGTTGTTCTCTTCTTTTTCGAACCACACTCTGTGCAACAGCCCACAAGTGCTGAATTCGGAGCAACCTGTAGTGCCCTCAATTTCATTGTATTCAGTCATTCGTGGCATCCGAAAGGAGTCTTGTTCTTGCGAATTCGGTACTCCTAACTTTATGTCAAAGTCTCAAAATTGGGTGCACCTTCTGGCAGTTTTAGGAGGAGAATGGCTGGCCAATACGATTTGGCCGCTTGTGAGAGCCTGAATTGGGATTGGGGCTAATAGTAATGGCCTATCCATGGTTGAATAGAATGAAGATGAAAAGGGAGAAGAGCGTTATCGAGAAAGAGGCAAAGAATAAGACGGAAATCGAAGGGGAGGAGAAGAACGAGACGAAAGGGTGTAGGAGGAGAAATAGGAGGAATAAAAAGTGGAAGAATGGGCGAAGAAGAATAAAAATAAGAAGCAAGAGTAGGACGAGGTGATTAAAGGGACCAAAATCTGTGAACTAAAAGGAGATGAAGGCAGAGGAAGAGGGGAAATAGAAGAAGACAAGATGGAGGAAGAGGGGGAGGACAGTGATTGAAAGGAGTTGCAGATTTTATAATAAGCAAAAATTTTATTAGATTAAATCTCTACGCGTTTGTTAATTGCTCATGCAGCTTGTAAACCAGGCTAAAACCCATCTTAGATATTTTTCGTCGTACGTAAGCGCTTAAAGTGCAGAAATGACTGCGGTTTGCAAATAATTTGTTATTCTGATTCATTTATATTCCTTAACAAAATGGCATCCACTTTCAGCTACAGATGATCGAATCGTGATTTTCGTTTTGAGATAGGTTTCCGAGTCTTCTAGCCCTTGCGCATCTTAAACTAGCTAAGGTGATTACAGCTTTTTACTCTAATCCTAAATTCATATATAACAAAAATTAGCCACTTAATTTGTGTAGACCTTATATGCGTTGGCACATCGAAGGAATTTGCCTCTTTTGCTAATTTAAACAGAGTAAAACAAAAGTGGCAATCCTCTGGTCGGGCTTAGTAATTCAGATTGAATCTGGATCTTAATAATTAAATAAATTTTGTACCTAAATGCACCGCTTGGACTCACATATCCACCGAATTTGTTTTTCAAATGAATGAATTTGAGGCACTACTGACAGTGAGAGTAAGATTTATTCCAGAAATGATCAGCAACCACTTTTGGGGCACAGTAGCAAATGTTGCAAGATTTTATCACTTGCGTTTACATATACTCGAGTTAATTTTACTCAATGCAAACTTACAACAAAAATGGTCCTCATA